CAATCATGCGGAAATGTTTCAAGCCTTAAATAAACATTGTGAACGCCTTCTCGATTGTTTAACAAGTATATCAATGGGATACATCATTCTTTGATCTTTGAACAAATCGCATAAATTATTTATAAATCTAACACCCTAAAAAATCTGCATCAAAGGTTCAACTAATTGCCTTTCTTTTCTCTAGCCTTTCGGCTTCCGCTCCTACTTCACTAGAGACGGTTCCATTATCTTTTAAAATAGATGTAGAATATACCATATATCCAGTATCAAAATCAATAACTTAATACACACATACAGTGGTTATCGAAAAATATAAATACAGTCAAAAACAATTGTGTATATATAAAATTTGATTTTATCATCTATTTATGTATTTAATTGATCATGCATTTAATTTGAGTCACTAATTTGTCTCCATAATCACAAAAATGTCATAAATATATACTAGATCAGTTGAGTATGGTAAGACATATCTTGTAATGTGATCAAAATTTATTTTTCACAATTCAGAATCGGGAGTTCGGTGAGCAAAGTTGGAAATTTTATCATGATAAAATTGTATTGTTCTTATTTGAATTTGTCTAGGTCCAGGAAATAAGAACAATGATATGCTTTATAACACTTGAACAAGACCTCGTAGATGACTAATTCGTGACTACTAAGAATAAGCCTCTACCTAAATCTTGAGCATGTAATTACCCTTAATTGTTTACTCAAATTTTTTGAGATACCAATAGGTGAGATGTTGTTTAAAGATAGAACTAAGTACTTTGAAATCTGGGGCGAAACAATTTCGGATCATATATATTTGTAAAAGAGAATCCATTAATCAATTAGTTGATATGATCATCATTAGGAAAAAAAAATTACAATTGGCAACTGAACTTGAGTTCAGTACCACAAGTTCACAATGGATTTACCTTATGAAAATGGGGACTCAGAGGACTATACATATTAGAGGGACAAATTGATCATTTTTTCGGCTCCAATATATTGACGGTCAAACAGGGGTTGACTAGTGGCATGATGGTTGAATTTCATATCATATTTTTCTTCCACAAAATTCAATTGACACGAGAGTGTAGTTTTGGTTCTTTAGTAGAATGAATCGAGATTAATAGTCAAGTCTCAATTGATCAAGACCTGATCATGAGGGCACACATTTTGAGGATCTAGGATTTTAATCTTGGAGAATATTCTCCAAGATAGCATTTTTTTCCAAAATTAGTAAGTAATCTAAGAGGGCTTTTGCACCAAGGAGGAAGCACTTCCACCTTTTCCCAAAGGCATGTAAAGAGACACGAGAGAAGGCTAAAAGGAAGGAAGAAGGATTGTTAGCTTGGTGAGGGGGCCACTGAAACTCACTACGAGGTTAAATCTTTAAGCTTTTTATGTGGAGATTCAAGAAAAAAATTCTATTACCTTGGAGTTCAAAGATCCATTAGTTTTTAGTCTCTAAAAAATTGATTTCTTCCGGGATTTTAAGCCTACACCCAATATAAAAGAAGCCCTGCGTTCATAAATAGTAACTATAGTGCTCACAAGATGCACATACGCACTATACAAAACAAAATCACAGCCCAAATGCAATTTATATGTCAATATAAAGAATATGAATAGTTAAAGTGCTGAAATAAGCAATAAAGTTAAAACGTAAGGACTCACCTCTGCACACTTCTTTGGCAGCACTAAGCGCCCAACACGTCCAGCATCACTGGCACTAAGCATTTTCTCAAACAAAGGAGTAATTATTGAGTTTGAACTATCAAGATGCTAAGGTAATATCGAGGTACTAAATTGCAGAATTTCAAATCAACACACCGACTTCAATTAACTATGAAGTTATTATGGATCCATGCAGGTCATATAACACCTACTTAAGAGAAAATAATAGCATATTATTTAAAAAGTATAATTCCAAGACAGTCAGTAATAATAATAACTAAGACATGGAAAAAAAAAAGCAAAATTCTTTCTCTAACCACAGGATACTCGCTGGAAATTTGTTGCAACTCCTTATCAGTTATTCGAGGCCAATACCGAGGAAGCAACTGATTTCGACCACGGCCATCTCCTCGAGATTTTCCATTGCGCACTCGAGCCTCACCAGATGAGTCGATTCCATTGTGAATCTTAACCTGTTCGCCCGCGAGTGTTGAAAGGGATGGTGGTTGTAAAAGAGTTGCAGAAACCTGGTCACTATCATTTGTTTCATTTCTAAATGGAGGAGCGGCAATCAAACTCAATTCAGAAGTAGGAGAATCATTCTTGGGGAATGATGGCAGATGGGAAACATTTACAGATGGATTAGGTTGCTCCTCCTTACTCAATTCTGCAAGAAAAGGGCATGCATCAGATTCTGATACAAATATTGTATTCATGTACTTTGGACATTTTTCCGGAAAGAAACTGTTAGGAGTATTGGGCCTAACTCCACACAATAAAACCGGCTTATTATGGGAGGATTGCCCTCACCTTATTAAGTGGATCATTCATATTTTCCCAATCAATGTGGGATTCTAATACGTCCCCTCACGCACTGCGTGGACCATGCCAAACAACTGTGAACAAGACGATATTGGGTGGCACCCAACATTGCATAATTGGGCCTAGCTCTGATACCATGTTAGGAATATTGG